ATTTTGTACACTACTGCATTATCATTTCACATGGATAACATAGCCATGTGGTAGGCTAATTAAGGTTAAAAGAGTTGAATCTAACCATATTAATCTATTCTCCCTCACATTCTTAAATGAAATGTCATGTATTGTACAATTATTCTTAATACATACACCTCCTAATAAATCAGAAAATAAAGTAGAAAATAATAAGTTTATAAACTCTTCAGTTGAAATAATAGATTAAATTCAATCTTTTATTGTAGTTTAAAATTAAGTATTATATAAAACATAGTGTAGTGATTTTTACCTCGTCTTAAATTCAATAAGTAACAACAAACAAACTAATTAATATGTTCATAAACCAAAAAGAACCTCTGAATGTACAATACATTTAAAGAGCTACAACAACAACAACAACAACACAACCCATTTGAGTCCCACTACAGTAGGGTCTGAGATTTAAAGAGCTACAATACTAGAGAAAAACCTAGAAATTATCACAAAAAATGGAGACTTTCAAGAATTGGGAACTGATACAATTTAATAAAATATATATTGATCTCATTGAATAATGACCTCTCAAAAAGTATTTACAATACATGGTAGAGAATCCTAAACAAGCTAGGTAGGAAGAGAAATATGAAAATATAAAAATAAGGAAATAAAATAATATTAGAATTATATTCCTATTTTGGTTTATGATTATATTCCATGAGTGTTTATAAAAATGTTACACTCTCGGCAATCCCATAAAACTCTTCTTGTTTGAAAAAGACACGCCTTTAAAATAAGTGTTTTTGTTTTTTTAAATTATTATTCATCTATTTTACGCATCTCATCTTACTTTATTATAAAGTAAGGACAAAATTAAAGAATAACACCAAAATTACTCTTTTTAAAGGTGTGTGTTTTTTCAAATAGGAAGGATTTTATGAGACGGATGGAGTACAATCAAAAATAAAATATATTAAATGAAAATATATATTAAAAAAAGTATGGCTAAAATTTATTTTTAAAAAAACTAAAAATAATAAAAATCACAAACTACCTTTAATTTGTCTCGGTGTAATTATCCAATTTGATTTATTTGAGTTAAACTGGACAAACATTGAACTTCAATTACTCACAATTTGTATTGCATATAGTACAATGAAATAAAACTTTAAGGGTCCGTTTGATACACGGAATTGATGGAATTGGAATTGAATTGGAATTAAAATTCCATGAGATTCAATTCCATAGAATTGAATTCACCAATTCCAATTCATTTTTGCACTACCAATTCCAAATCCACATAATTTTTGTGCTACCAAACACGAGATTTGGAATTGAAGTCCTCAATTCCAATTCTAAAGTTTGAATTCCGTGTACCAATCGGGGCCTGAAAGTTCTGAACAAGAAAAAAGTAATAAAATCATTTTTACATTAATATACATTACAATTTTTATTTAATTAAATATCAAAATTCATTTTATTTGACTCTAAAAAATCAAAGTGGATAAATACACTAAAATGGATGGAGAATTTTCTTACGAGTAAAAATTGAAAATTCTAAAAATAACCGAGTATTACACTCGTAATTTTTTTTCATTTATGTAAAGATTTCCGACCATAAAAATGTAAAGATTTGCATATCATAAAGTGCTGACAGTGCAGTTAGAAAGCCGCAAATCGTCCCAAGCTCGTACACACAAAATGTACCCGAAAATGATTGCATACTCAGTCCTCCCAAATTAATCTCTCCTCTATTTTTTCACTTTAGTTTAAGACAAATAAAATTATTTAACTAAAATTTATGAAGAAAAAGAGAATCAATGCATACCATTTTTTAAGAAATAAGAATTTTATTTTAGAACAATAATCCGAAAATGAAAATGAAAAGATTAATTTAGTACGGAGGGAGCATGTTTTTTTATATTAATTTTGTATTAACATTTATATATTTAAAATTATATTTTTAAATGTTACACAACTTTTTACAAAGTTTGAGTAAAACTGTTTCAAATTAATTCGATAAAACATGAAGTTCGAACCTGGGTGAAGTTCCATTAGATCTAAGGAATAGGTTTCCTACCACCCAAGTCAAGGAATAAGTTCTTTACGTGTACTAAAATTAATCATTTGATAATCCTAAATACATACTCTTATACCATTTATAAAAGGTATGTATTTGTTTCTTGTAGAATTTTAATGTAATTTTTTAAATACTCCGTGGTCCCCTAAAACATTCACAATTTGATTATTTTGCCAAATTTAAAAAAAGTTGACTACCAAGTTATGAAAAAATATATTTAATTATAATACAAATTTAACATGATTAGTTCATTTTAAAATGTAGCTTCGATATATCAGATTTGTATTATCATTTATTTATATAAAACTATATTTTTAAATATTACACAATTTTTACAAAGTTTGCATTAAACCATTTCAAATTTATTAGATAAAACACGATATATAGAAACCACCGAAGAAGTATATATAATTCGTAATTTCCGGTCTCAAAACGGAATTTATACATTGACTTCACGAAATTAAAGAAAAATGATTAAAAAAATCTGATACGGGTGCGGTGGCGCCATCGGGTGGTAACCTAGGAGGAACAGACAGACCTCGAAGGCAGGTACGGGCGCCCCGTCGCTACGACGACTATGTTTAATGTGTACTTTTTTATATCATTTAATTTCATTCATGTAACGTAGATTTTCTTAGGAGAGCGGTCTATAAGCTCCTTCAAGGGTTTTCTTTTCGGTTCTTTCCCTTGTCGTTTTTTTTGAACCGACAGGTTAGTCGTAGGGTTTGAGGAAGTCCATCTTATAAATACGGTCTTGTACCTCAAAATAGGGAAGCAATAATACACAACTATCCTCTCCCCTAAATTCTTTTTCTCTCTTCCTTCAAAACCCTAATTATCCTTCACTGGTTTTCCTCGCCTGTGGCCGCAGAACCCCTACGGTGGAAGTGGTTCTTCCTCTGGCTACATTTGTGTGATACAACTCGTATCAAAATCACATACGGAGTAAATATTTTTCTAAAAAATAAATGATAATAATCACATATGGAGTAATTGTATTTCCCTAAAAAAAAGAAATGATAATAATCACATGCGGAGTAATTATTTTTCCTAAAAAAGAAATGATAATAATCACATGCAGAACATTTATTTTCCTAAAAAAGATAGTGAAAAATGTAAACATTAATTTATAATATGTATATAAAAAATGTGTGAACCGTACGGAAGACTGTTATATATAGACGCTCACTAGACTAGACGTTGAAGCTCAAATAATTGTGAAGTTGGGAATGCCATGTTCATTTCAAGACCTAATAACGTGACAATTTGATGGAGTAACCACAACCCAATCAAGTCTCTCAGTGCTAAGAAAATATGTACATACAATTTAAAACCATTCTTTTTAAAAAATAAAAAATAAAAAAATCGGTTATAAGTTATAAAAATGTGTACTAAATATGACTAAAATCTAAGTCATTTTTCAATGTAGGACTTAAACGTTTTTATTTTCTAAATAAGAATAAATAATGTCTTGTGAAATTAATAATGTCCAATGATAGTGTACATTTATATAAATAATGACTAATGAATAATGACCAATGGTTCTACATTAAAAAATAAAAACATATGATCTTATATTGGAAAAGTTATTATGTTTTAGTTCTATTTAGGTAAATTTCCTTTAATTTAGGGGGAAATATAGATAAGAGGCCAAGAGCGACATATGCAATATAGAAATAAATATTCCGTTCGTTCTGAAATAAATTTACACTCTTTTTTGTGATCGTCTAGAAATGAATTTTTTATTCATTTTATGGAATGAATTAGAAGTCAAATTAATTTTCTTTCATCGGATGGAGCCAAAAATCTACTATCTTTTGGCTTTTGGTGCGCTTCTTTTATTTAATTTTCGTGAAAGTCAAATAAAAAAGTTTATTTCATTTATTCTAAATGAATATTCTTCGTCTTTGTTTTAGAGCATTCCAAATCAAACAATCATCTTTTTTTATAGATAGGTTTTATAGCTTAGATTTTTTTCTCTTCTCTACTCAAAAACTTATTTTTATTAAAATTTTTGTACAATTAAATATGGATGATTAAATTAAGGGATAGGGAGTAATATATACTCCCTCCGTCCCAAAAAGATTTACACGTTTTGACTAAAATTGAAATTAAGGGAGGGATAATTTTGTGTTGACTTTCCAAAAATACCCTTGATGTGATGGGTAAAAGTAGGATGTGATGTGTAGATTATTAGGAAAAAGGTATGATGTGATAGGTAGGCTTTGAAAAAGTAAGGGGTAAAAGTGGTTTTTTAATATAAATGGGTAAGAGATTGTGGGACGCAATTTTTTTGAAAGGTGTAAATTTTTTTGGGACGGAGGGAGTAAGAAGAAAGAAAACAAATGGAAATACAGTAGATACAATGGATGATTGAATTGTGTGGCTTCCATCAAAACTATATTTCTGACTATGACTGCGCCCTCAGAACCAAACTGACACTGTATGTATATGTATATATATATATGTAGGACATTCTTTTACACCGTATATATTCCGTATTTATCCTATTTATTTATTTATTTATTTATTTATTTATTTATTACTCTGCTATCTTTTCTTTAAAAAAAAAACTCCAAATCAATCAACCTCATTCACGTTCTATGAATTGAATTTACTAATTTTCTAATTTTAAGATTTGACCTCTTGTAGTTTCTTTATCACAAAATTATTTTATTTATTCTGATTTACTCCTATTATGAGTTAAAAAATATCCAAAGTAAAGGTAAAGTCTACATACACTCATCTTCAATAGATTTTATTTGTATCCGATAATATTGAGATTATTTAATGCCCAATCAGTCTGGATTTTTTTTCCAAATGTTCTTTTTTTTGTTCGTAATTATTCTAGTAAATTTTTATATTTTTTCGTTTAAAGAGAAGTATTTTAGATCACATGCGTTTCACAAAAATATGGAGTACATTTCAAATAAAAAAAATCGTTTCTGGGCTGTATTTATGAGAGGGAAAAAAATTTGTAATTTGATAGGTACATAAATAAATGCATCCGAGGAAAAAGAGCTCTAATCACCTCGACATCCTAAGTAAGTACAAAGCTTAATGATGCCCTAAACCTACAAAATTTGGGCTTTTCTGGACTACACTATTGTCAGTAAGCACTGTATACATATATATAAATACACATAATCCATGGGAAAATCCGTAATTAATTAATAACTGATTATTCAATAAGCAGAGATTAAGGCGGAAACGGTCCGAAACTTCTTCTGATTCATCTCTTGTTTGTAGAGGCGGGCGATGTCTTGCGCCGTCTTGACGGCGTCTGCTGACGCACCGGAAAGCCCTCTCCTCGTGAACCCCACCGCGTACAGCCCGCTCCTCCCCTTCCACCCGTTTGGGAATGGCGCTCTCGGGAACCCATTCTTCGTGAAAAACTCGCTCTCCTGTGCGTTCCAACCAAACACGTCACAAACCAGTTAGACCTCAATTCAAGAAACTCAACAACAAGTAGAGAGTACCTTTTTTTTTTAAAAAAAAGGAATCTTTTTGTTACCTGTAGCCAGTACGGGACGTTGCTCCGGTAACCGGTGGCCAAGACGACGGCGTCGGCTTCGAGGGTCTCACCGTTAACGAACTCGACCGTTTTGCGGGAGAATTTCTTGACCCCGGGGACGACGTTGACTCTTCCCGACCTGATTAGTTCGAGGCCGCCGATGTCAAGAACAGGGGATTTCCCCTCTGTGTTCTTGAGCTTCAATGGCCCGATTTCAGGCCTTCTTAACCCGTATTTCTCGACGTTTCCGAGGATTAACCATGCCAGGATTAACATAATCTTGTCCACTAACCATAGCGGTAACCACCTCAGCATCAAAACCGCCAATTCGAATGTCGATTTCCCCATGATTTCTCTCGGCAACACATGAACCTGGGATAAAACAAAACAAGAAAAGAACAGGATTTAGAAAAAGAACCTAACTTTAACATAGAGATGAAATTTTGGATCGGTAAATATGAAAAAGATTTGACTTACAGAAGAGCGGCAGACCATGGAAGGCTTGGCGTCGTGGTTGCAGAGGTCGAGGGAGAGTTCCATGCCGGAATTCCCGCAGCCGACGACGACGACTTTCTTGCCGCGGAAATTCTCGCCGGACTTGTAATTGCAGGCGTGGATAACTTCGCCGTCGAACTCCTTCAACCCTTCGATATCCGGGACGACCGGCTCGGCATTCTCGCCGGTGGCGACGACGAGCCACTGGCAGAAGTACACCACCTCCTCGCCGGAGGGGGAGACGGAGGACCGGACCTTCCACAATCGGCTGGCCTCGTCGTAGCTAGCGGAGCGGACGCACTCGTTGAAGCGCGGGTTCAGGCCGAAGTGGGCGGCGTAGGATTCGAGGTAGTCGATGAACTGGGTCTTCGTCGGGTACTCCGGGTAGTGCTCCGGGAAGGGGAAGTCAGGGAGCTGGCAGAACTGCTTGGGGAGGTGGAGCTTGAGGCGGTCGTAGGTGCGTTTCTGCCACAGAGAGGCAATGCAGTCGGCCCTCTCGAGGATGACGAACGGGACGTCTCTCTGTTTCAGGCAAGCTCCGACGGCGAGGCCGGACGGGCCGGCGCCGACGATCAAAGGGCCGTTGACCCACACACACCTGCTCCCATCGGATGATGATGAAAACGTGAAATCCAACATTTTGATTTTGAATCTCGCTCTGAATTGCTGGCCTTTTTCTTTCTTTCTTTCTTTCTTTTTTGTTGTTGTGCTCTGGTTCAGAGAAGATAGTGGAGTAGTAGGAAGGGATTGAGAGAAAAGGGGAGGGGGGGGATGGGTTTAAATAGAGGGAGTAGTAAGCCCATGTGAGTGGGATGGTGCACAGTCATTCTCAAATCATATTACTTCATGAGTCCCCTCACAATTATTTCGAGGAGATTAATTATTATAATAATGCTAACTATACATTATTTTGTACACTACAATTTTGTACTAGTATTTGATAGTTTAAATTTTTTTTAAAATACTATTGCACAATTTTAATGCACAATTTGGGTGAAGATCGGCCATCAAAGTAATTGATTGGAATCTCTTTTTATATATTGAGGTGTATCTTTCATTTTTTTTGTAAAATACAATCGTAATTCAATATGGTACCGAAGTATTATAGTAACTCTATTCCCCCTTCCGACTTGATTGTCGGTTCTTTCACGACTTCATCCCTCCTCTCATAAGTTCATCGACGATCAGTCCCCTCCTCTTTGTTAAACGTCGACTTCTTCAAACATGACAAAGAGATCGATGCAAAGGTTTGTTCAATTGTCTTCCAGGAAGTTTGAGACTCTTTCTTCGCAATTTGCATTCTCTTGTTCTTGTTAAACTTGAAGATGATTATCCATCTTGGTCTTCTACCGTCAAAACAACTCGCCAAGCGATCGCCTGTTGGCTATGTTGACGGCACCGAGACACCACCATCGTCAACGATCCTTGATGAAAAAGCTCATCATGTTAGTGCAGATAAGCAGTTGATTCTAAAAACAAATCCGGCTTATGAGCAATGGATGATCATCGACACCCAACTTTGTGCATCTCTCCTCGGCCTTCTCTCACTAGCGATTCAAAACCTGGTGCATCTCTTTTCCACTGCTACATAAATTTGGGATCAATTACATCAACGATATAATTCTTTATCTTGTATTTATATTTTTTTCATCTCAATGAACAGTTTCATAACTTTTGTAAAGGGTAATTTACTATGCAAGCATACTTGGATTTTGTGTTTACATCCCTTGTTTTTTCTCAAGAACATATTCCTGAACAAGACATTTTTCTCAATGTTTTACGTGGCCTGCCTAATGAATATGCATCTCAAACAAATATTCAGACGAATATTTCTAATCTTACGTAACACCAAACTTGAGTAACCCGAATACATGGATCAGCAGATGGGTTTGTCACCAGATTTGCATCCAAATACAACATAATTTTCAAAACAATTTAAAACAAATAATTTAGAACATTACTTAAAACATCCATCGGAGTAATGTAAAATGGTGGAGAAGCTTAAGTACTCAATTCAAAACACAACTTTGCTCGAAAAACATAATAAATCCAAATGTAATATTAAATTAAATAAACTTTTTCATCCAACAACCATCCATCTCTTTATCCTCGATGCCCCCCAAGACTGTTTCCATAAATTTCATTCATGTTATCTACGTGTAGCAAATAAAGCAAACTATGTGCTAAACTTTCATGTTGAGTGTGAGGTTCTAACAGTAGAAATCACACATAGGGTTATTTCAACATACATAATCACTCATAGAATCCCATAGGCAAGTAATATCACATAACATCATCAAATAATATAAAAAATATCATTTCAATCACACATAATGTTATTTACCTTGTTTGTTTGGTTGTATCAATTATCAACTCAACATCCTTATCCTTATGTAAGTTCATTTCTAACACTCGCTCATATAACCTATTATAGGCTAAGGCCATTTTAATTAACAAACATAGACATAACACATTACAATTCAACATGACTTTACCAACGAACGAGTTCTTTGCTAGGTGGATGGTACCCCTGTCATAGTTTGTGAATCCCGTACATACGTTTTAACCTGTAACCATCATATATCCGATTTGTAGGACTGATTTTACCTATTGACATGTACACTTACAAGCACACTAGAGCAGTCATTTGTTTACAACATCTCTACATATTCAATTGATCAAAGAACGGAAAAATTACAGTTGTCTATGTTTTTTCTAGAGATCGAGAGCATGGAAAATGAGAGAGCAGTAGAAAAACGACCCAAATGAGAAAAAAAGAAACTCCCTGCCCTCGCTCCAATCATCAACACTCTCACTAGGAAAAACATAAGCAAGCGTAATTTCAAGTTCGTTTATCATGCAACGAAGATCTAACTCTTTACTTCTAGAGGTTATCCTCACAAAACTACTTCTGCCAGCTCAATTTTAGTTCATGTGCTTCAAGCAGCTTTTCGTTAACGATGATCATCTTGCAGGGAGATATTAGGAATATTAGATAATAGGAATATATTTAATTACTTTCCTTATTATATTATCTTCCTTATTGTATTTTTATCATAGTTGTTCTCCTACTAATTTTAGAACTCTCTCATGTAATCCTTATAAATAGGGATATATTCTTCAATATTTAATAAGACAAATTACTATCAAATTGTATCATATATTAATGTGTAAATTAGGTTTTCATGTGTATATTTATCCTAATGCGTATCAAAACTGATACCTTATCATCTTGAATCATACCAAACAAATATTTCGAGATTGACTGGTTCAATATAAAATTTATACAAAAGTGAAATATTTAGTACGATATCAATATGAGCTAAATAGCGTACTGTTTTAATGTAAAACCAATCTAATTTGGATATACAACTACAAGTTTTAGCTTTTGATTAAGACAGCGTAACATTCAACTTATTTTTTCTGCTTATTACTTATTCTTATTAAAATCAGATCAGATCAGATCAGATCCAATCAAATTAGATCAAATTAGATCAAATCAGACAAGATCTAAACAAAATTATTATGATTATTATTATTACTATTATTATTATTATTACTAATATTATTAGTGTTACTAATATTATTAGTGTTACTATTACTATTATTATGACTCTAATTATTATTACTATTTTTATTGTAATGATTATTACTATTATTATTACTACTAATTTTATTATAACTTTTATTATTATAATTACGATTATTATTATTATTATTTTCCTTGTTACTAATTGTAACACCCTAATCCGTCCAGGTCTGCAACCCCTTTCGGACTAAAGTATTAACTTGGTAATCGTAAAAATTTAAAACATTTTAACATCTTTATTTATAATAAAATAATATTCCATTCATAACAGTAATAAATTACGGAGTTTTTGACCATAATGCGGAAGCAATTTAAATCATGTCTCATAACAATTTAATTTAATCATTTTAATTCATAAATCCACCACGATCGCCTCGCTCCTTCTGCTGCCAGGAACATGTCAACTACTCGTTCTGCCTACCTGCGTGTAGCAAATAAAACACACTACACGCTCAGCGGTGAAGCTGAGTAAGCATATCTAAAGCGTCGAACATCCACATAAATTGAATCCAAATTCACAATCAAATCATTTGATATCATGCACAGAGTATTCAGTTCAAATATACAATAATCAATATTCAACATTCGTCATTCAATATTCATATTCAACATTCAACATCCTCATTCAATAATGTCCTTAAACTATTCTTAGTCTAAGGCCAATTTATTTGATGTTTACCAACTCTTAAACTAGTTCTAGTTTAAGGTACCTCTATCCAACTCTTAAGCTAGGTCATTAGTTTAAGGTACATATATTCCGATTGATTTACCAACTCTTAAACTAGCCTTTGCTTAAGGTACAAATCTAGAAAACCGAACAGTAGGATACTGACTGTCGGGTTGGGTGG